GAAAGGTTTGGAACAGTATCCTCTCATATTTGTTTAAGTTATTTGTCGTGGAACTGCATACCTTACTTCCAACAGCTATACGTTTCATTGTAGTTATGATTGCATAACATGTGGTCGCTAGACGGCCATTAAATCGTCACGGAGAATATAATGTTTCTGTTCCCCCTCGTGCATAAAAACAAGAAGCATGCATCTGCTACAACAAGTCATGTGCAGTCATGCATGACGTCTGCAATCACTTTGCAACACATATCTCCTCTGACAAGACATCATCAAAACATGATCAACCATAAAATTAAGATAGGTGAATGTTCTACAAGAGCTACGAATTACCCAGCTTAATTAGCTAAGGTGCGAGTTTCCCTGATCATCAAAGACGTGCAGTTTGTACAAGAGAATATCATATCAATTATCTATCTGTGCTGGTGGTCTCTGTATCGCCATAGTGACAGATTCATGATGAAATATTCCCAAGGTGGCAACCATCAACAGCACTGGAATGTTAAGGCTGACTCCTGGTCCCAAAAACTCTTTCATTCTACCAATTCTATTAACTACATAATATCACCTTTTGTGCCTTTGTCATAGGAGTCTTGTCATAATTTTTTTAACCTTTTCTACACTTAGCCACACAAGCTTACAATGCAATGAACCCTTGCAATAAGTATTCTACTTGTGTTGAAGACACTTGTAACAAATGAGGTTATCTCTATAAAGATATAGGATACAGATGTTCCAACTCTTCAATATTCTTGTAATAGATGTATGTTAACAACACTCTGTCGGTGCAACTTTTCTACATCTAATCACAGAGACTCTTGAATCAAGTCTGTTACTCTATGTACAGCCATCAATTAATTCACACCTGGGACACTGTTCATGTCTTCACGACTCTTGAAATGTACGAAGACGAACTCTGACCAGGGAGATGAATGGTCGCTATACACTTAGAAACTTTGGACTTTTGAGACAAAAGTATGTGTTACCGTGTATCTAGATTGGAAAGTCTGCACTGTAGGCCACTTACATTGTAGCTTTGGCAATAAACCTCACTGTCCATCACCATCGGGTGCAGACAAAGGCCCCATGAAACGTCATTACATTTATGTGGAGATGTGTCCAGATTTCCAGCATGGTCCTGAGAAACATCAGGACTCTTTAAAGTACTTTGTGCTGTACATTCAACTTCTTCAATTTAACAGTTTTAGACAATTACTTTCCAACACATTACAAATTGATAAGTAAACTTCACGTAAGCATTAGCAAAATAGATTAATTATTTCAATTTTATCATCTTGTTTGCTTTACAATGTTATTGCATCATTATCTATATCATGAATACTTTATGACACAGCTATCAATTTGATGTCATAAACACTGCAACGTACACTATAGCTGTCTATTGTCAATGTCTATTCATAGTAAATGTGAGTTATGTGATAAACAGAATCTTACACTTGACTCTCCGAAATTTTGTTCCTACCTTGTCACAATAAATGAAAGGTGATTACTTTTCATTTACTAACTTTAAGAATCAGTTTAATTTCAATAGATGAAAATTTTAATTGATATTTTTATCTGAAATCACTTCACAATAAATGTGGAACAAGGTTTGATTTTTTTAGGATTTTATGTATAATTTTTTCACCCAGTGAATTTCGGGGATTGGCCATAATCAGCTCATGAGAAATTCTATCATGCTTTATAGAAATTCCTTAACAGTAACCTCCTAACACCGCTCAAGTCATGTGACATTAACTTTTCAAGATGCAGAAAAACAAGTAATATACAAAACCTAAGTAAAAAAAGAAATAAAAAAATATAGATGAATTTAGAGTATGACAAGGTTATTTTTACAATCCCCTTCACAATAACAAACATTTTTTCATTATCAAATGTTTTCTAAATCACCTGGCATAAGGCTCTACATATATACATATGTTCCACACTTCTGTCTAGCAGACACATTACAAATGACGGTACTTGACAACTGCACATGTAACTTGTCTCGTTTTACAGCACGTGTTGTCTCATACAACATGCACCCTTGGTAAAGCCAATCTCCAGTGGATCACAGTATGGGAGGTTATGTATTAAGTCAGCTTTAATGTTCAAACCCTCAACAGATCCACCATCTTGGGCCACTTAGTCCATTTCTTTCACAACCAGCTGACATGCTCAAAATTATTCCCTTGTGTGCAAGTTAACACATACCAAACCTTCGTTTTTGTACCATTTTCGAAATCACCATGAATACGATATGCATAAAAAAGGCGATCTTGAATATCATTCTGGAAAATAAATCTGTTGGTTTCCATTCCACAAACTCTTTCCTGATGGTTGAAATTTCATTCTTTGAAGTTGATTCTGTAGGTACTTTTTTGTGGAGTTAACAAAATATTGCATTCTTTAACAAAGTCAAGTGATATTGAAACATGTTTTGTGATGATGTCTAACAATTTTTCACAATGTTTGGTGATGTTTAACAATGTTTGGTGATGTTTAACAATATTTGGTGATGTTTCACAATGTTTGGTGATGTTTAACAATATTTCACAATGTTTGGTAATGTTTAATAAAATTCGGTGATATTACCAATGTTTGGTGATGTTTACCAATGTTTGGTGATATGTAACAATATTTGGTGATGTTTTAACAATATTTGGTGATGTTTAACAATGTTTGATGGTGTTTAACAATATTTGATGATGTTTAACAATATTTGGTGATGTTTAACAATATTTGGTGATGTTTAACAATGTTTAACAATGTTTGATGATGTTTAACTATTTTATGATGTTTAACAATATTTGATGATGTTTAACAATATTTCATGATGTTTAGCAATATTTGGTTATGTCTAACATTATTTGGTGATGTTTAACAATGTTTGGTGATGTTTAACAATGTTTGGTGATGGTTAACAATGTTTGGTGATGTTTATTGATAAAAATTGTGATTTGACCAGTCTGCATGATGATCCCTATATATGATAACTTCATGGGTTGCTATGGAAGCGATAGTTAACATCAGCTACAATCATAATATCTTATTGAAATATCTTATGTAGAGGTCATAAAGGTCAACTCTAAAGGTCAGAAAGGTCAGCTGTAGTTTTCTGAAATGTATCCTTTTATATGTCAGACAGAATCATATCTCCTGCTTTGTAGATTGGAACATTGTATCAACTGAATCCACAAATCCATCAACAATCCACAGTTCCACCAACAATCCACAAATCCACCAACAATCCACAGATCTACCAACCCAGCCCTCCTAAACCTTTAACTAAGTCTCCATCTCTTAGATGTCCATTTAACATATTAACAGAACAACTCTAAATACTACAACTTGTCAATAAAAATTCTCATAAAAACACGGACAACTGACCCTTTATAGATAAAGATACTAATCACTTCTGACTCCTTCAGCAAGGATACATGGTCCCTGTAGGATAATCAACCTTCTCCTAGCCATGTGTGTCTGTGAATTAGGTCAACAATATAGCTTTTCAACTTTTCCAGAACTTTCACAGCTCCAAGTCAGTGAGAAAATAAATACATTTCAACACACAGTCCTCAAAAGCACTTTATTAGACCAGATATTTACCCTACTTAACCCCTAACTGTTTCAGTCCTCTTAAACTGACTCTACTCTGACATTGACTGTCCCTACTACTAAACCCTACCTTCACCCCTGACCCCTGAATCACACCTGTAACCCCTAACACAATCACTACATTGACCTATATTATATATAGGTATCATATGACACCCTCCTACTAAGTTTTAACGATAAAATAAGATTCCCAGAGCTTTTTTATGTATTAAACACAGCAGAATCATGGTTAGTGAGAGTCTTATGTCACATATACATGCATGTACACTTGCACCTGTGTGACAAGTGTTTTTATGATCAGATCACCTTCATTTATAAGCTTGGTAAAGAAGCCATTTACAAACTCAACCCCTCACTTTCTCACAGATTTCTATCTGTAGACTAAGCACAGTCCTATACATGTCTTGTTCTCAAAAAGGAAATGAAGGAATTTAAAGTCAGAGATTAACCAGGAGATTTTGTTTTAAATTATGAGTTTTGAATCAAATTTTCCTAACATAACATGCCTTGATTGCCAACCTCCGTCAAACACTGCAGTATTTCATAAACATTATACAGCTAAACCTGTCAATAAAGGTCACTCACAGGACCTGAGAAAAGTGGTCTATATAGGCAAATGACCTTTATATAGAGGTGCAAAGACTCAATTGTATAACATTGCAAACTTAATCAAGAGGCCAAGAGTTGAGTTTATAGACAGGTGCATGTAATATAGAGGTGACCTTTATAGACAGATGTTTGTAATTTAGAATTAGCCTTTAAAAACGAGAGTATGATTTAGGAGTGACCTTAACAGACAGGTGCATGTAATTTAGGGGGTGGTCTTTATAGACAGGTGTTTGTAATCAAATGGTGTTCATGGTCTTTATTAGACAGGTGTTTGTTTAAAGAAAGTGATATAAATTTCATGGATAACCAATACAGAAAGTCAAAAATGCACTCTTGATATCATAGCCCCTGGATCAGGGCCTATATCATGGCCCCTAGATCAGGGCTGATATCATGGCCCCTGTTCAGGGCCTATATCATGGCCTCTGGATCAGGGCCTATATCATGACCTCTGGGTCAGGGCCTATATCATGGCCCCTGTTCAGGGCCTATATCATGGCCTCTGGGTCAGGGCCTATATCATGGCCCCTGTTCAGGGCCTATATCATGGCCTCTGGATCAGGGCCTATATCATGGCCTCTGGGTCAGGGCCTATATCCAGGGCCTATATCATGGCCTCTGGATCAGGGCCTATATCATGGCCTCTGGGTCAGGGCCTATATCATAGCCTCTGGGTCAGGGCTTATATCATGGCCCTTGGATCAGGGCTGATATCATGGACCCTGGATCTGGGCTGTCTCTTTTAATATAAAAGCAAGTTAAAACAGACTTACCTCTAGCGATGATGAGGAGTGAGACTGACAAGTACAGCCAGCTCTGGACAAACATCTTCTGCCAACTTCTATAAGATTCCATCACTTTTTATACAGATATCACTTAAAACTTCACAAAATATTCTGTTCACTAAATCCAGTTAGACTTGTTCACCTGAAAATACACCAAAAATACACAGAGATTAACAAAGTTTTAAAAATTTAACATCAGACAAATATAGAGCATTTAACTAAATTTTATGAATAAACACATTGACAAGGAAAAGCTATTACACACCAACAAGACCAGATCTGATATGTTTACATGACTTAATAAACATGTTTTCATGTATGTAAATATAAATATATTTATAAGCAGATAAATCTATTTGTTTTTATTGATTTTTTTTTCATGAAAATTTCACAGAAATGTTTTGGTTAGATATTTACACTTATATTAAATTATATGTTTTATAAATCAGTTTGAAATAAATTTTGATTTTCATCAAAGTTACCTTGACTAACCCATCAACTACACCTTCATTCACCACTGAGAAACAACGGTAACAAACAGAAGTTAAAGTCTGAAATTTTGAACCATCTAAATCTCAGACAAAAAAAAATCCCAAGATCAGCATAAGTCTCGGAGAGAAATTAAATAAAAAAAAGATTTATATCTTCCCAGGATAACTCCGTAGACAGGAAAGGCTGTGTTTAGCCAACAAGATTTGGAATGAGACAAACATCAAAGTGTATATTTGCCCATCAGATAGAGAGTTAAACTTGCATGATAAAACGATAACCATAAACATTGTAATATCTGACCTTCTCAATTCTCTTATTTCTAAATTATCCTAAAAATTGTACCAAAATAGCCACATAAATAAAAAAGACATAAAACGCAGGATAATGCCTTTTTGATTTTTGTTCCGAGATTTTTTCGTTCACTTACTTGAATGACATTTAAAGAGAAATCTCCTGTGAGAAGATATGCTTATCAATAAATGTGTTTTTATTCCACGTTGCTGCAGACAGTTGGTCAGCCATAGAGATTGTTTCGGTAACTACCAGACCAGATCTTTTATGATCAAGGGAGACAACTCAGCCGTACAGGATTTTATAACCTTTAATGGCCTCCAACATCTAGACATTTAACCAAGCCTCTGTGATTTTATCATCTTTCAGGAATTTTTATATCAAATCAAGGAAGATAATTCAATATCTTTTAATGTCTTTTTCTGACCTTTGACCTGGTGGAGCATTCTGGTCTATCAACAGACTATTGAAGAACTATTGCCACGATTCAAATATGATGTGTATAATCATATTTCAGCAAATCTAATTAATAGTTTATTTAATACTCTTGAGAGCGTATGAACATGTATGAAATGTAGACTAAGGATTTCATTTTTTTCAAAAATATTTCATTTTTTTCAAAAAATTCAAAGCCATCTTATTATTTCTAAAAAGAAGATTAATAAACTGAACATTTGGAGAAAAAAAATAATTTCCAATATCCACAAACAGCTTTCTTAGACTTTGTGAGAATATTTAAAGTGAATTTCTCTACAGTCAAATTTTTAAAATGATATACATAAGTTTTTACATTAACATTTTCAAAGTCAGGATTTTGCTAAAACTATTAAAAATGAATTTTTAAGAAATCTGTGATGTTTATGCTGTTTTTTTTTTTTTTTTTTTGTCCTTTGCAATTTCAATTAGAAATACCCAACATTATCTGTAATCACCATTCCTTTGAAATCTTAAAGTATCTCCAGAAAGTCATCATTATATTGTTCAATTCTGATCAATCAGCCATGTTATGTAAAACCAGTTTTGTATCTGTCATCATGACTATAAAATTCTCTCAAGCACTAAGACAGTAGACAATATGGCTGCTGGACCATCTGACGGATTTAATCACCAATAATCACACATACAGGTGAGAATAGACTGTCGAAGCTGAATAATAAAACTAATCATTCTTTGACTGTTATCCACACAGTCTTGTTAGAATGATGAAACAATTCTGCCATTAGAAAGAACCGATGGCATGTTTAGTGGTCATTTGGACCATCGGAACCAGCCATAGGCAAAACAGTCAGTCAATTCATTACCATAGCGTCAAATTAGTGTGGGCTCTGACACTGACCAGACATAGTTAAACTGGACACCAAACTTTCACTCTTTTTGGTCTGGCATGCAAACATTTCACTTTCATTCCACAATGTGTTTCAGTACTGGCTGCACCAAACAGTAAGCCAAAAACACCGATTATGAAGATTTCGGTATAATTTAAGCCATCATTTTGAGTATTACTAGACCTAAACACACAAAATTTTACAAAGCTTTGCCCTTAGTGCTGTGTTGAAATTCTGTCCTAGAACAAGTTTTTACGATATCTGTACGCCCCTAGTCACAACTTTTGTTTACATGTCTCCTACATCTGGTGTGATGCTCCACTCCCTAACACAATCTGCATTGTACCTCTTAAAAGCTTACTCATCACAATCATTCCCAAATAATATACAACTATATTTTATTTTAAAAAACTTTCAATTCCACTCATTCCTAAGGCATGCAGTTGTTAATCAGGAAATCTGAACTTTTAGCAGAAGCTAACTCATCAACTGTTTTCCATTCCTGTCAACAAGAACATGCCAGTATATTTCATTCACCTATTTCAAGTTTAATATAGATTTCTGCCAGATCACCAAGCCCTGATGTGTAAATTTCACATCATTCATGACAATCTATTACATTTCCCTTCAAGTACATTTCGTTTTTCAGAATACCATTTCCGCTCAGACTTGATCTCCACGTCCCAAGCACAATCAAAAACATTTTTATTCGTCCAATTTTTTTTCCTCCTCATCAAGTAAAAGGCCAAAAAACTAGTTTTACATTCATCGTCATAGTAATTACAACGTCCAAACTTCTTACATGCCTGTGTTGGCCTCTTATTAATTTTCCAATCATCTGTAAAATTGCAACATCTGTATCGGAGTCGCATATGGCTTTCCGACCAAAAGGCCTGTGTATGGTGAGCTTTGTTTTGGGTACAGTAAGGTTATGTAAGGAATCTATGTAGAAATGAAACATCGTTACAGAAACACGTTATTTGAATGGATTATAAATAAGAAATTCAAATGATTTATCTTGACGCTAAGAGGTTGCCATGTAGAGCAAGTTTGGAACTTTTTACGTCACTGAGTGTGAAAGAAAATATTTCAATATCATAACTTTTAACACATTTCTGTTTAATTTAAAACACAGTTTAAGTCAGGTTACACATTAAGTGGGCCTAACCAGAAAATTGTTGGGTTGATTTACAGCTGAAAAAGGTTCAAGTTCACAGATAAAATGCTACTTTGTATTTGTAAGTAACAGCAAACAGATTTTCAAAAAATTATAACTTTTTAAAGCAAGTCTCTTCTGTTCGTATAATTTGTATACATTTTTATAATGTTCTTGTATGGTGTTTTAGTGAATTGTATTCAGTTCTTGAAATTCCATTTCAACACAGTATTAAGCCCTGTTAATACACTTGGTCCTCACCACAGACACATATTTGAGTCTTGTTAATCTAGACATACCATGCTTTACATACTAATCCCAATTTCATTTACTTTCCTATTCAAAATGCTCCACATCTGAATGTTTCACTAATTTTTGCTTCAAGATTCCTTTACGGTCAACTTTGTTTGTAGTATAAGACATTTCTCAACTCTTAACAGTTTCCTGACCATTTTATTCAAATAGAATTCTCCCACTTGTTTTCTAAAAAATATACATAACTTTCCCAAGTCAAGAGTATCAGAACAACTGATAAATTCTCCCCAAAAAATGATTTTACTTTAAATAATATTTAAACAAAGGGCAATTTTTCTGTAATTAAGGGGTTGCAAGTCCTTACTTTCATATACATTGTCTTAGTATGATCAATAAATACACAAAGTTTTATTATTTTCTAGTTTAAATGCAAACAAGTTATGTTCCAGAGACAAAATTAAAACAAAGGGCATTAACTCCAAAATCAAATGGTTGTTGGCCCTGACTTTTAACCATTGTACAACATCTTAGTATCACTATATACACCAAGTTTCATTATCCTAGTATAAATGAGAGCAAAGTTATGCTCCACACACGAAATTTGAACAAAAGCTATTAACTCTGTAATTGGAAGGTTACGGGTCCTGACTTTGCTACGGTACACTGCACATTGTCTTAGTATAACCAATGTATACAAATTTCATGATCCTGGCTTAACTAAGGGGGCAGAGTTCTGCAGCACATACAAAAGGACAGATAGAAAGATAGATGGACAGGCAAAGTGGCAACTATGAATACCACTGAAAATTTTCAGGAAGCATAAAATAACTTTATAGGTAAACACAAATATCCAATTTATAACTTATTCTGCAATAAGCCCGGGGACCAGCACATTACCTCTGATTCTGAGCTGGGGGTTTGGTATCTTATAGTTAAAAAAAGCATTCATTGCTGATTAGACAGTAAATATATATATATATGAGTGGGCTTATTACCAAGCATGGGCATTTTGCAGGATACAGAGGGTAATTCTATATATATATGATTTGCTCCACTAAGTAACTTTAGATAAACACATGTACTTTTATATCTATCTTGGTGTAGAAACTAACAGGGAATGTGTTGTCTTGAGTACCAATCCTTCTCCAATCATTGTCTTTGGAACACCATTGGCCATAGTAAACACATGAATCACTCCTCAGTGTTTCCGTGGTAACAAGTTTACATTGTTGCCGTGACGATCATCATCAGAACTTTGCAATAGTCTTAAAAACTCACCAATTACATAAGAGCTTGTGCATCGCAAGGAGAGACGGAAAAAAAAATTAGCAGAGTTATGGAGTCGAAAATGAGGTACTTGGTGACGCATCTCTATAATGGCAACACCAGCGATAATGCACATGCCTGCATAGAAACACCTGCTTCCTTAGTTACCAACCTGTATAGGAAATGCATGTTCTATTATGTGAGGTTTATTTCACTAAATGCCACCAGGACCTTGTAAATCCACTAGACGGAGGCAAGAGTTTACATTTACATGACAACATGCTACATTTAATTAGAAAGTTTTATTTCAAAATAAAATTACTACGAAGATTAAAAGCTTGTTTTTCCATGCGTTGT